ACACTGAGTTGGCGTGAGTCACCTTGAGGGTGGCCCCACTCCCAGAAGTTGGGGGGACTCTCTTCTTCATCCATCTAGTAGAGAAGAGCTACAATGCTGAGCCCCCCCAGCCCCCCAACCTACCTTCCTTCTCACAGGTGACCTGGGCTGGGCACTGCACTTTCTTCATCTCCCCGTCCTGAGAAACTGGGAGGCAGGTGCCATTTACCTTCACTGTGCAGATGAGGGACTGAAATGTGAGGTCATTCACAGCTGCCAGGTGGCGCGCTCCGGACTCGATCCCAGGACTTCTGGGTCCCAGACTAGAGCATTCTCTACTCCACCGCGGCTGCCTCTAGGATCGTCTTGAAGCTATTTCCCTCCTTCGGTGTGGTCCCTGTCAGAGGTGCACCATCCAAGCCCCCACCGCCACTCACCTGGGCACTCATGTGCCTCCTGATTGGTCTCCTGGTTCCCCTTCTTGGTCCCATCACCCATGTTCACAACAGCCAGCGCTGACCTTTTCATGAGTGACCACGTCATACACATGGAAAAGAAGACCCAGCTCCTTACTGTGTGTGGAATATCAGACTTGACGAGATCTGGTCCCTGTCCCTCTCCCGCCTCATCTGGCACTTTGCATCCTCTCAGCCACCACACTATGGCCACGCTGGCCTCCTTTTTCCTTCCTCTTTCCTACCCCGGGATCTTTGCACTTGATATCTCTTCTCTTATCACTTTGTCTGATGCCCTGTTTTATTTCCTTACAGCACTTCTATCTGAAAGCATACTCCTTATTGACTTCTTGGGTGACCCTTTTTTGTTCCTTTTGCTTGCCTTTGCTGGGTAGCGTAAGCTTCACAAGATATTTTGGTCATGTTCCCCCTGTCGTCCTCTTGCCTAGAACAACATCTGCCCATAGCAGGAGTCAGTAATGACCCACTGGGTGAAAAAAAGACACGAAGGAGGCTCACATGCGGATGTTCCCAGAATGCACCCTGAGCTCAGAGACAGGAGTGTAGGCAGGGTGAGAGGGCAGAGAGTGGAAGGCAACCCCGCCCCCTGGAAAACACAACCGGGTCCCTCCCTGCAGCCCCAGGCCCTCCCTGTTTGGAAACCTCGGCCTGGCTGGCTTCTCCTGCTACAGCCTGTGTCCCTGAGGATATTCCATACCTCGGGATAAACCGGCCTGTCTCTCTGAAGCATCAATTTGACTTGATTATTTGGCGGGAAGCATTGTTTTTATTAAACAGGAATTTTATTTTGCAAGAGATGCAAAATGTACATAAATTTTTAACACAAAATGTGAGTCTTTCATGAAATTCACACCTATAGGAGTTGCTGTAAACAGCCCAAAGGATATTTACTGTCCCTGTTGTTGAGAGCCATCACTAGGAAGAGGAGTGTCGTGGTTGGGTGTGTGGGCTCGGAGACGGTTGGACGAGTTGCTCAACCACTCTGTGCATCGGTTTCCCCATCTGTGAATGTGGGCGGATAGTAATAGTACCTCAGTTCACGTGTGTAAAGTGCTTAGAACAGTGCCTGGCCCTAGGGAAGTGTCAGCTATTTTTTGCTCTGGGAAAAGTTGAGAAGTTCCATGACAGATTGCAGGGCCTGTCATTCCCCACACCATGTCACCATGTGCTGCCCTCTCTCCACAAAAGCATTGGTACCACTGGGAGATGGGGACAGCAATCTGGCTCCTAGGCATGACTGATGAGCTTCAGGCACCACCCTCACCCTGCCTGCTCCAGAGACGAGGATGAAGGGACTTAGGACTCCACCCTCAGCCCTCTGCAGAAGGCAGATCCTTTACCTGGAATACACATCCTGGTACTCTCCATCACCACCTCCCCTTTCCTACAACCCCCACCCATTCTCAGAACCGGGGCTGGGACTAAGGTGAACAAAGTAGATGCCCAGATTCCAAGGAGGCATTCCTCACTCCCAGGGTGGTGCAAGAGCCCAGCACTTGGTTCAGCTGTTACCACCTCCAGGAAGCCCTCCCTGAACTCCATCCACCCAAGTAATGCTGGCTGTCCCTTACTGCTGTCACCGCCAATCAAACACCACTATAACTGTTGACCCATCTGGCTGCCCTGCTGTACAGAGCCTCACCCCTGCTGAGCACAGAGAAGGCACCAAAAAATGTTGAATAAATCATTCTCAAGGGAACCACAAAGCTTGGAAAAAATAATATGCTGAGGATGTAGCTCAGTGGTAGAGCACTTGTCTAGCATGTGAGGGGCCCTGGGTTCAACCTCCAGGACTGGGGGGTGGGGGGAGGCACTAATTACGCAGGTGGCCCCTTAAGAGGCCCAAGGGTTTCAGAAGGGAGAAGAAGAGCAGGCAAGCTCAGTGGCACACAACTGTAACTGCAGCTCTTCAGGAGGCTGAGGCAGGAGGATCCCAAGTTCAAGACAAACCTGGCAACTTAGATCCCGTCTCTGCCAAGGCCAATGTCTCGGCTTGGCACCAGAATCACGAGCCACCACACACCTTTGTAGGTTCAAACAGCAATTCTTTATTCCCGCTCTCACACCGCCTCCACACAGGTCCAGGGACAATCGCGTTCTGCCGTCTCCCGCACAATTCACCTCCTCCAAGGCTATCTCCAAATCCCATTTTAATCTCACGAGAACTCAACGGGAACAAGCAGCAGGAACACCCTAATCCCAGCAATAATCTTCAACCTCTAACTTCCCTAAAACCCATTATCTTAAACTGGCAACGCCTTAAACTCAAGGAACCGGTTACTTCCTCAAACCTGATCAGCTCTAAACCCGGATCCGCCTTGGGCCCTTGAGCAAGGTCACCTTATTAAAGCATGCATGCAATGTCCCATCGAATGTCCTCTAAGCAGCATGGGGTACGCTTGGCAAGGAAATTTCGATGGTCATTCCTACTTGGTAATGGCCCTCAGCACGTCTCAAAATAAAAAAGGGGCTGGAGGTGAGGAGATAGTTCAGTGCAAGTGTTCTAGCACTTCAATATCCAGTACTACAAAAATATAAAAATAAAAGGAAGATGAGAAGGGTGGAGGGGGCACTTGGAGTGTCTCATGGAGGAAATGTCCAGGACCTTAGGGACGTATACTCAAGAAAGTGGGAAAACACTCCCTTCTCCTTCCGGGAAAGCGTGGTATTCTGGAACGTGCCCGATCATTCTTTCATTCATGCAACAACCCTGTGCTGAGCCCAGCTGGGGCCCGGTGCTCTGCTGGAGCAGAGACCAGTCAGTGCCCAGGCCTTCCTCCAGGGGTCCTGGGAGGCCCCGCACTCCAGCTCTGTTCCTCTTCTCTCCATGCTAATGATGGCCATCTGGGCATGGGCCAGACATGCCTGATCCTGGCAGGAGTTGCAGCGACCTCAGCCTTCAGGCTGCCTTGTGGCAATGCTACTGTGGGACTTGTGCTTCGGGACAGGGGGAATGAGGAGAGCCATGCAAAGAGGGTGTCGAGTTGTGGGACCTGACCATTGCTGATCCTCTTGTCCTGGGACCCCTATCCCTTGTCCCTTTCCTTGTGGCAGTTCCAATAGCCCAAAGAAAATCTCCATACTACACAACCTGCCCCTAACTAGGAAAGGCAGCAGGCAGCAATGGAGGATGCAGAGCCTTTGCCTGGATCTGAGTCTGGATGTGACACCTCACTGCTGAGTAGTTGTGGTTGGGAAACCCATTAGAGACCCTTCCTGAGCTGCCTCAGTCCTAGCACTGCTGACTAAATGACATCACACCAGCAAAGGTCCCAGCTCAGACCACAGTGGGCTTCGACAAAAGCTAACTCCATTCCTTTGAATAAGGAACTATGTCACCTATACATATGGCTTCACAATAAGGAACTATGTCACATATACATATGGCTTGTAATTGGGATGTGGCTCTATCTCCCCCAGGTGAAAATAACAACTACTGTTAACAAGCATCAGATAATTCCATTTCTGGTCAGCAGAGGCCCAAGCCCTGTTCTGGAAACAGCTGGCATTTTGTAGGGGCATTTAGAAATGCTAACAAAAACCAGGGAGCCCTGGGCTGGGTGAGAAGACATAGATAGGAGTTGGGAGGCGAGTGGAGGTGAGTGACGGCAAGGGCAGCCCAGAAAGAATGAACAGCTTGAGCAAAAATGGGTGAGGGGCTTGTGGCACACTTGGGAACTGAAGGCAGGTGGTGTGCGGGGGGACAGGAGAGGGTGTGAAGATGTGAAGGGAGCTGGGGCACTACAGACAATCAAGATCCACCTGGAAAGGGAGTTTCCTTGAAAATAATGGGCTTGCATTTATCTTGAAGGTACAGAGAGGCACTTCCAGTTTCAGGTTGGATGAGAGAGGGTGAGAAGGCTCCAGGCAGGGAGATCAGTCTCGAGGCCACTGGATGACAGGCTGATAAATGACCACCGCCTGGTTCAGGCCAATGACCCAGCAATGGAAAAGAGGGCGCGGAGTCAAGAGAAGTTTGGATACTAAGAAAAACAAGTGCAGAAAGTGGGAAGGAGAGAAAGGGAGGCGCCCAGGAACACCTCCATGTCCCAGGCCGCAGGACCAGTGGCTGAGATAGGGAAGCCAGGAGGGAAGAATAGATAGTGAACTTGGTTTTAGATAAAATGAGAGTGAAATACTAGAACTTGCAAGCAAGACTGAGCTCAGCCCAAATCTGAAGGGTACTCAGCACGAAGTCTTTTCAGCCTCTCAAGTTCCGTTTTGTCGCGTGGAGTGAAGCTGATACCTACTTCACGGAATTCTTGAGAGAAGGTAGACCGAGTAAGACGGCTACCAAGAAGCACCAAGCCCCCTAGCTGGCACATGGTGGGAACCCCATGGATATTTGTTGAACCTGACGGTGACCGTGATGGACGACCAGGAGTGGTGGCTGGCTTCTTCTTTCCTCCGCTGTCTCCTGTCTCTTGAAGGTAAAGAGGATGTGGTCAGGATTGCTAGGCAGCCAGCTGCGGCCCAGGGGGCCCTTCACGTCCACCTCCTCAGCCCCGACCTGAGGGATGCACCTCACCCCCTCTCCCTCCTACACAGCTGCCCCACCTCAGCCAGATTCCAAAGACTAGGAGGTGCTCCCCAGCGCCCTGACTCAGGCAATCCAAGCCCTGGTGTCCACAAGCAGGACCCTGAGGCAAGTCTTGCTCTGGGCAGATAAACCGGTTTTTATTACCTCCGCCTTCGCAAAGCCTCCACCTCTGACGGCTCTGAGAACCCCATTCCCAGGAAGAAGGAGGAGCTCGAGTTGTGAGAGTACGTGGGACACCTCCCGGGCCAGACTGCGAGCTTCCCGAGACCAGGAACTGGGTCACACAGGTCCTCCTTTCCCTCCTGGTCCCTGCCCCTCCTCTATCTGAGTTCATGGTCAAGGAAGATCAGTTGGATTTATTAAAATCCTTTGTCTTTGGTTTCTCTTTAAGCCAGAGTCTCCAACCAGGAAAGCAGAGGTGGACACACTCCTCGGAACTCAACAGGAAAACGTCTTGCTGGGTCAAGGGTAACAGGATCCGGGGCCAATAGACCCTGCGGCCTTCTCCTCCTCCCTCTCCTCTCCCTCACACTCTGCCTGTCCCAGCCTATGACACAGTGACCACATACTTCAGGAGTGGATTCCTGAGTCTTGCCTAAGCCAACACAGTAGATTCACAAGCAGATAAGACTGGATTCACCAACCCCCAAATTACATCTCCTTCAGCAAGAAATGAAGGCAGCTCCAAGAGCTTTCTCCTCCCCAAGCTCTCACAACTGAACCATGGAGCTCTGCAAAGGAGCAAACGGTACCAGGGCCTGCTCCCCCACACAGGTTCTTGCCACCAAAAACAAGCCCATTAACACTCACCTGCCTCCCTGCCCTCTTCACCTCTTGGGCTTCAGTGTCCAGAACAAGGCAGACACCTGTGGGCTGCTTCTTATCCCAACCAGCTAAAGGAGACCGCAGGGACTGTTGGCCCCAGATCCCGTTAACCTTGACCCAGCATGATATTTTCAGCCCCATGTCCTACATAACAGTTAAGGAGTGACAGCAAAAGGGTCGCTCCCAGAGCAGACTCCCCTCCTCCAATTTCCCAGGGCCAGCGGGGTCCCTCACACATTACCAGGCTGCACTACCTTTGCTTTTGGACCAGCCTCTGACCCTCAGGGCAGCAGCCAGTCCTCTCCTCTTGCAGCACAATTGATTTCGACTTCAGAGATTCGGGAGACCTGGAGAGATTTTCCTAAATGAGATCCACCCCTTCCAGCACAGACTCCCAGTTGCTTAGCAACCGGAAGAAGCGATCTGGAAGTCTGGAGCTTATTCGGCAGACCCCTGTGTAGTGATGAGCTTGGTGGCCCACCTAGGGGGGGAAGGCGCTGCAGCTGATAATTATCAGGGGTGACAGCCACCATCCCAGGCCTGCTATTACTGTGTTTACCAAGGAGCAATTGCTACAGAAGCTCACGCCACTGGCCTTTCCCAGGCCCTCACCCTTCCCACCCTGTGCTGACTAAGGAGTAGAAATAGCCTCCAGCCGTTCCCAGGAGTAGGAGCTACAGCCTCCTAGAGCCCCAGGGCGCCCTGATACCGGTTCTGCCACTTAAGCTGCTCCCCAATGCTATGCGTGGTCCCCAAAGAGGAAGAAGATGAGTGAGGCTCAGGGCACACACCCCTGGCCTGAGTGGGAGCAGGGGCATCCAGTAGTAGAACCAGAGGATGCCTGGGACTGCCCGAGAGCTGGTCTTGTTAAAAGAATGCTTGGCTTTCTTCCTCTTCCTGCCTGAAGCCAGGGGTCTGCTCTCTGGCCTCCTTTCTGAGCTGCCTCCCTCAGGCCAGGCTAACTCAGGAATTGAGAATGTCAAGCAACCTCCCTTCTGGACTCCACTCTCCAGCTGTGTCAACTGTGGTGGGGAAGAGAAAAGGGGAATTCAAATCTCCAGTGTCATGAAGCCAAGGAGGAAGAACAGAGGTCTTGAGCCAGTCCTCCTGCTCCTCTTTCTTGGGAACTCCCTTGTGATGAGCGCTGACCTGAGCTTCATGGGTGAAAAAAACCACAAAAGAAAAACAGACTTGGAGCACATTTGTCTCCCTGTGAGCGGTGTGTCAATCTTTTGGAGAGCCTTCTCACTCTGCTTTCCGTCTCCCTCCTCCAGGCCCTGGTACTGAATCCTGGATCTAACAACAGGATGCCCCACCTCTTTTCTCTGGTTCCTCTCTCTCCATGAGGCAAGGGCCAGAACACCACGGTGCCCACCTGGGAATCCAGACCCTACGGACCAACTAATCAAAGCCATGGATTCACAGACTGTTAAATCTTAGCATGCCATTAGATATGATCTAATGTCCCCATTTCATAGACAAGGAAATTGAGGCCCAGAGAGGAAGGTGCTAGACCCATGATTGCATTGCTGGTTAATAACAGAACTGAAATCAGGGCCCAGCCTTCCTAACTTATACTCAATTGTTCTTTCCAACATACCAACCTGCCTCTTTTTTTTTTTTTTTTTTTTAATCCTCACGTTGTTAGATGCCTGACACTTAGATCTTTCTGGTTTTTTCTCTTTTTTTCCAACAAGGTTTTAACCCAGGAGCACTTTACGACTGAGCCACATCCCTGACCCTTTTTTATATTTTATTTAGAGACAGGGTCTCGCTGAATTGCTTAGGGCCTCGCTAGGTTGCTAAGGCTGGCTTTGAACTTGGCTCCTCCTGCCTCAGCCTCTCGAGATGCTGGGATTACAGGCATATAATCCACCATGCCCGGCACTTTTCAAAATTTTTACTAAGATCTTATCCTATACACATAGCATTGTTTTCAAATTGATGAAATTGAGAACTTTATTGTAGAGTTGAGGAAATAGGCCAGAAAGAGTTGCCTCAAGTTTCAATAAGAATGTGTCAAAAGTGAGAGAAGAGTTATTTTTCCTCACCTCTCTCCAGGGTTCCTTCTGCTGTGCTCCATACCTCCTTAAATTTCTTCTCCTCCTCTTTCTCCCTCTTTAATCTGGTGCTGGAGATTGAACCCAGGGCCTCCCATATGCTAGGAAAATGCTCTACCACCCAGCTACAACCCCAACCCTTTTTATCATTTTTTAAAATTTTTTTTAAAGAGAGAGAGAATTTTTTTATTATTTATTTTTTAGTTCTCGGCGGACACAACATCTTTGTTGGTATGTGGTGCTGAGGATTGAACCCGGGCCGCACGCATGCCAGGCGAGCGCGCTACCACTTGAGCCACATCCCCAGCCCCCCCCCTTTTTTTATTATTATTATTATTTTTTTTTTTTTTTGAGACAGGATCTTGCCAAGTTGCCCAGGCTGGCCTTGAACTTGTGACCCTCCTGCCTCAGCCTCCTGAGTAGCTGGGATTACAGGCATGGGCCACCATGACCGACCTGCCACTGCCTTTTAATGCTGAGCTGCTTTCTTTAGTGCTGCCTCTGAGGGAAACCATTTTCCCCTCTTCTTTCCTTTCTTCTCTTTCTCTTTTCACTGCCCCTTTCTCCCAGTTTCTCCACATCCTTGGTGGAAAAGCCTTTCTACCTCTGTGGTTTCCCTTCCCTGGGAGGAGAAATGTCAGTGAAAAGTGCCCACTCAGCACCCTGGGTGCTAGGTGGCTCCATCGTCGTCATTGCTTGGGGTGGGGTGTGCCACCAGTGCCTTGTTCTCCAGGAAGCCTGGCCCTGACCTCTGCCTTGGCCTCTCTGCTCTGGACAAGGATTTCTTTACTCAAACTCTAGCAGATCTGGTGGCTCAGAATCCCTCAGAGGGCTTGCTAAGCCCAGATGGCTGGGCTGCATCCTGAGAGCTGGATCCCGTGGGCCTGGGCTCCATTTATGAAATCTGCATTTCAAGTTCCAAGAGAGGCTGATGCTGCTGGTCCAGGAACCACACTTTGAGAACCACTGTGATGAAAGACGACTCATCCAACCCAATGGCCACGTGGGAATGGAGTGCAGACAGGACCAGAAGTTGGAAAGGAGGGTTGGGGCTGGGAACCCGTTTGACCAGCCACCCACGCTGGCTTCTGCGTGTGCAAACAGCGTAGACCCGTGTAACCATTCCTATGTTCATCCTCAGATGAGTGTAGCAATTTGGGAATTAGGAGCCTCCAGATGAAATCCCCTGGCAGTTTAGCTGGCAGTTCTCACTGCCTGCATCCTCCCCGGTTTTCACTCTTCCTCTTCCCTCCCCTGGCAGCAACTTCCCTGTAGAGAAAGTTCCCATATCTTTGGCTCACTCTGCTAGTACCTCCACAGCCAGCAGCTGACGAGGGAGCAGGAAAGGAGGTCACTGGGAGCGCAGTGTGTGTGAGCAGTAGGTCTCCAAGTGCAGCCGATGGCCAGGCACAGGGGCCTGAAGGCAGGTGCAGCATGCTCAGGGAGCAGGACTCGCTGGCCAGGTGCAAGAGGGCCAGGGGGCTTGGGCCTCTGGTCCCTGCTGTCAGAAAGGAAGGCATGGGGTGAGGTCAGGGAGGCAGAGGGGCAGTAGACACAACAGTGTGGCTTCAGCAAGGCCATCATTTGCTGAAGGTTGCCCTTTTCCTTCCTGAGGTCCTTCAGCAGGGGCCAGCCAGGACCAGATGTCTACAGATTTCCAGGAGGACAGGAATCTAGACTCTTGGGTGGTGGAAGAGGATGGCTCTGAGAGATGGGGCCACTTCTGTGGAGGGGTATCGGCCAGCCAATCACCCGGCCCGATCTCCCCTGGTCTAATCCCTCTGCAGATCCACGAGCATGGCTGTTCTCAGCTATCTGCTGTGACTGCCAGGGAGAGTGGGAAGCAGAGGGCTTCTGCTCCAAGATGTAATGATTAAACACTAAGAAAGCTGGCCCATCCCTCCTGAGTCACTTCCCAAAGAGCATCCCAGTAGCCAAGGGGCAAAATGCACCCAGAACCTACCTTCCCCGCAGGCTGAGGAGGCATATGGTGCATAAGCTCAGGGGGAGCCCGGCGGAGCCCAGCCCCCGGATCCCTCTCCCATCCTTATGGTAAGGCCAGAAACCGTTCTCTTAAGTTTTCATTGCTTTGGGCCTTCAGCTATTTTGGGCACCGGAGCATGAAGAACTCTGGGATTGTTCTCTGCAGTAAGAGAATGCCATCTGGGAGAGGCTACAGAGTTGACAGGAAGGAAGTGGGGACAAAAAGAGAACCTGAGAACTCATCACCAGCCCTGCCCCCTCCACAAAGATGCCTCCTGCTGGTGTTCTGGAAAAGCATCTCAGACACGCCGGCATCGGCCCCTGTGAGCAACGCGTTTGGCCTCTCCCGGCCTCCACATCCTCCACACCCTCACTCCTTCCCGCTTCCACCTGCCAGGCATGTTGCAAGAGTCCATTGACCAATGTTTACAGAATGCTCCAGAGAAGAATGATCCAGTTGCCAAATCCCTGAGTCATCTGGCCTAGTCACCCTTTGCTCCTCTGCTCTGGTTTTCCCACCAGAGTGGAGATCACGCTCAGCAACAGGCCTTGCCAGCCAGGAGGCCAAGCAGACTTCCCCGACCTGCCTTTTACAAAAACAGGCAAGAAGAAAAGAAATCTTTAGTGAGAGCCTGATGATACACGCAGGTACTGAGTCCGACACGCTCACCCACCACGTACCACGTTATCCCGCATCACAGAATCCTGTGCCATGGTATTTCCATACTCCCTTTTCAGGTGAGGAAACAGAAGCATTGAGGTTACAGAGTTTTACCCAAAGACAGGACTATGAAGTGGCAGAGCCAGGAGGGGAACCTAGTCATCATCACCTGAGTTCCCCCCAAAGCAGAGCCTGGGACAAAGGCTTTTGTGCAAGTCGTACATTTGAGGATGTGATCCCAGGAGGCAGAAGCAGGGGAGGAGAGCCAATCCAGGGATTCCTATGAAGCTGTCTACCACCAAGTGTCAGCTGGTCAACCAGTGCCACAGGAAAACTCTGAAGTGGATCTCAGGTTGATCAACCAGGGGAAGAAGGAGAAAAGCATTTATCCATTGGTTCTGGGTTTCCCAAGACTTACCTACCCACAGTTGACTCCTCTGTACTTGAGAGTTGCCCAAGCACAAGGCTGGGAGTCCTGCAGAGAACTGGTCACAGGAGCAAGATGCCAGCAGCGAAGACTAGAAGCACTGCATTAGGGTGGTGTGCTGGACACAGTCCCACCACACCATGCTAGGTATGCCAAGGAGCTCACATGAGGTCACTGGGGCAGCCAGGGGAAAACAAAATGTGAATCACAGCCCATGACTCCATGCATTCATTCAACAAATATTTATTGGAGACTTTGTTAGACATTGGAGTTGGACAATAAACGAAAGACAAGATCCTGGCTCTCATAAAGCTTAAATTCTACTGGGGGTGGGATGACATAGACAGATTAGCAACTGAACAAATAAACAAGTACTGATTCCATATCGGGCACTATGTTGAGAACTTGGGAAACCCCAGAAGAAATTGTTTCCTTGTTGGGAAGACAAAGGCACAAAATACCACTACTGAATATGGTGACAGGGGCACCTGCACACTCCTCTGGGAGAACAGAGAAGGTACATTTTACTCCAGATTCGAGAGCTAGGAAAGGATCTCCAGAACAGATGAGGCCCAAACTGCTTGGAAGGCCTCAAAGGATGAGCCAGGCATCTCTGGATTGGGGGAAGGGAAGGATGTGCTCTGCATGGGCAGAGACACAAAAGCACAAGAGCACGGCATGTTCTGGAAAAGTACAACTGAAGTGCCATATCTGCTGGATGTTGTCAAAAAGCAAGGTGGGAAAGGCAGGCAGGGAGCAGACACAAAGGCTTGAACACCTGCTACGGGAGGATTTGGATGTGATCCTGAAAGTGAAGGTAAGCCTCTTTGCCTTTTAGTCCTCTAAGCCCAGCTAGCTCCCGAACATCTCAGCCAAGGATGAAGATAAAACCAAACAATCGAACACAGAGACTGGCAGCTAGGGAGGGGGAGTGCAGGGGGGTTCACAGGGAAGGCCCAGTGGCTTTGGAGAATCCGAGAATGGCTAGACCTGAGTTGCCCGGGTTACGTGTCCAAGCTCTCAAAGCTTGATGAGGCCCACTGGGCACAAGGACTCTCTCTGGTCACTGCGCCTAGTGCACCAGGCATAAGATGCACCAGGCATAAGATCAGATCCTCTGGATTGATCGGCACCTCGGCTCTTCAGTCCTCAACTCAGCGTCTCCTCTTTATAGCCAGGTCCTGTACAGGCAGAACTCCAAGAGCTGCCTCCCAGGTGTCCAGGGCCTTGAGGACCCTGAATCAAACAAGCTGCCTCTGGCCCTCCTTTGACGTCCATATCGTACCTGCCTGGGCTTTCCAGCTGAACCCCACCAGCAAGAGCTAATACCAGAAAAGCAACTGGCATCTGGCTGACTCTCTCGCAGAGGCCTGTCACATCCATCATCCGGGCAGGAGAAGAGCTTCCCGCAGCTCACAGCCGCGTCCCGCCATTCCCCTGCAGAGCCCTTGTCAAACTGAGCCCCTGGCTTCTGTTCATTCTTCAAAGTAAAGAACCCTGAGAGGATCTGAATGCAAACAAGAGCAAAACTCCCAGAAGCAGTCTTTTCTTCTCAAATTCAGGGCAGAATGAATCCCACTCCACGCCCACCTGCCTCCAGAGGTTCTCAGATGACTCAAGCGACACAGGTCCACAGGTCCCATCCTTCAAAGGTGGCTGAACACCTCTAGCCTGCAATTAGAACCGAGGACAACTCCAGAGCCCTTCAGCTCACCAGGGAAGAAGGGTCTAGGCCTAACCTTGTATCTGATTGCTCTCCCTGGATCCGTCCCCACCTCATCAAAATGCCCTAAGGTCCCTCCCCTTCAGACTCCTGGTCTGACCCGGGAGGCTCTCTTTATGCCTTCTCTTCTGCTCCGTATAGCTGACAGTGATCCACAGGCGCTCTGCAACTAAACCCGGGGCTGTGGATATGGGGTGAGGTAGAGAGAGTGTGTCTAGCATGTACAACACCCTGGGTTCAATCCCTAGCACTTAAAAAAAATTTTTTTTTTAATTAAAAACTGGGCATAGTGGTATACAGGAATCCCAGCAACCTGGGATTCTGAGGAAATTGAAAGTTCAAGGCCAATCTCAGCAACTTAGTGAGATCCTGTTCTCTAAATAAAAAAATAAAAAGGGCTAGGAATGTGGTTCAGTGGTAGAGAGCACCTAGACCAGTGCCATGCAGGCTAACCAGGAGGTGTGAGAGCCCCCCTCCAAAGAAAACCTTCAAAGCATGCCCAAGCCCTTCTCCAGGTGTAGACATGATCCCCTGAAGGACATTCTAGGCCTAAGATTCTGAGTGTCTATGACTGTGGAAGAAGGAGGTTATTCCAGGACACACAGAGAACAGAAAACCAAAAACTTTTTTTTAATCCCCGAGGTTGCTACAGACTCCAATGAAACACTCCTGAAGAGAAGAGCCAATCTGAATCCTCAGGAGCCTTTCCACTTCCTAGTATCATTATTATATCACCACCCTGCAGTGTCGCCTCCGCCTTCACTCACCTCTCTCTCTCTGGCTCACAAGTCCTGAGAGTCCCTACAGACACCTGGACTGTTCCTGGGAAGGCTGCTGATGGGGAGGCTGGGGTGGTGAGCACTGGCCAGGGCAGGAGTTCTTGGGGCTTATCAGACTCCTCTTACCAAAGGTGGCCAAAAGAGAGAAGGGCCCTGGAGCTGATTTCAGGCTGCCCGGCTGCTCAGATCTTATCATCTTTCACAGCAGCATGGCAAGCCCCCACCTACTCATCCCCAGACTCCTGCTAGAAGCCAGCACAACAGATCTGTCTTCATAAGTCCAGGCCTCTAACTAACTCAGCTCATCTTTTCAAAGCAGCAAGAGAGATTAACCCTCCCGTCTCTTCTTGGATCTCAGTGACAGATTTTTTCCGGATTCACCTCATTACCTCTCCCACAGGCGCCCATTCATTTCCACCTCATTGTCCTCGTGGTTCTCATTCCTGTCCCCATCCCAGCATATCCTGGCAGGGTGAGTTCTATCTTCACTCAGTGTTCTCCTTGCAGACACAGGCCACTCTGCCCTTCCTCTAAGAATACCATTCCTCTCCGGCCCCTCCCACACAGATCAAAGCCACACTTTCCCGGAATCCAGCATGTCAGGAAGAAACCAATCACTGAGAAATGGTGTGAGAGGATGCTGACCCTCTGGGCTTTGACTGAGTATGGGACGGGACCACTTGTTGTGGCCTGGAATCCTTCCTGAATCACTTTATTCCAAGTAGAGTTTAAGATCTTAAACCCCACTATTCACATCTCTGAATCTTCCAGATTCCGCAGAACAATGGTACAAAGTACACACTCAATACATATTTGATGAATGGAATCCCTAGTAAAGCTGCAGTTATTCACTGCATGCTGCCTAGTATCATTATTATATCTCAAAACTGCAGATCTGCGCCCCCCCCCCACTGGAGATTGAACCCAGGGATGCTTTACCCCTGAGCTACATCCCCAGACCTTTTTTTTTTTTTTTTTTTTTTGAGATAGAGACTTGTTAAGTTGCTAAGGGTCTCACTAAATTGCTGACGCTAGCCTAGAACTTGCGCTCCTCCTGCCTCAGCCTCTCCAAGCTTCTGGGATTATAGGTTCGTGCCACCACAGCAATCAAAACTACAGAATCTTAAAGTTAGAAGGGACTCTGGATGTCATAAATTCATGACCCACCTAGCACAGGACCACAAACTGCAGAACGCCTGACAGGTGGGCTTCTAGCCTAGGCCCCTTAGTCATCTCCATGACCACGAATGTCTAAGGAAGCCCAACCCTCTCAGAGTTGACATTTCTGTTTATGAGAAAATCCTCTCTTCCGTTTACCAGAAATCTGCCCTCCCCACCTCTGCATCCCACACACAATAACCACAGAACCATGCACAGGGCTTGTATTTTCCGGTAGAGTCCAAGTGCCCAGAGATACTCAACTCAACAACCTGACTTGTGTCCAGGAGAAGCTAACTTGCAGGTTGCTAAGGATATCACTAAATTGCTGAGGCTAGCTTAGAACTTGAGATCCTCCTGCTGATTGAAGGTGGTAGCAAAATCCCTTTAAAGCAAAATTGTTCACTGGGAAGATCACAGAAGGAAGGGAAGCCAAGTCCTGATAACTCTATGTGCACTTTTTTGTCCCAAATTCATATAGTCCAGTGTCCATTTCTTCACACCTTCTTCAACCAACACATCAGCAATTAAAAACTAAATAAAATAAAAGGATCTAGTGCTGTTGGTCCCCCTTCTTGATTCTCATTCCCACCCTCCCCACCAGCTCTTGAAATGTTGGTCACACTCTCTCAGAACAAAGGTGAGCTTTTACAACCTTCCTCAGGCCTCTGCACTGAGCATTCAGGATTCTGTTAACTAATTCAGAAGGTGGGAAGACAAATAACTGGTTAACTTTGGACTACGTTTCAGACAAAAATCTTTTAAAGTAGATTTTTTTTTTTTTCCTTTTCATTCTGGGGCTTTCAAGAAATAAGATGACAACAAAGTCAGAAAAGTAGCTGGTAGGGGCTGGAGTTGTGGCTCAGCGGTAGAGCGCTCGCCTGGCGTGTATGAGGCCCTGGGTTTGATCCTCAGCACTACATAAAAATAAATAAAACAAAGGTATTGTGTCCAACTACAACTAAAAAATAAATATCTTAAAAAAGAAAAGTAGCTGGTAACTTCCAACCCATTTGGGTATGCAAGATACCACTATGTAAGTCTAGAATGACCAAAGCACTTCCTTGCTGGTGTTTCTGAGGTCTGCATTTGGCCCTGGGCCTAGGCCTTACAGGTAGAGGTGGGTAGCTCAGTGATAGAGTACTTGCCCAGCATGTTCCAGGCCCTGAGTAGAATCTCCAGCACCAAATAAAATAAAGTTAGGGGCTGAAAGGAACCAAAGTAGGAGTGATGATAATGGCTGAAACGAAGTAGTGTAGGTGGGAGCTCTGCATAAACTACAAAGCCCTATGTAAATGTGAAGTAGTACCAATATAAGAGCAGAGATACATAAAAGGTCCTCAGGAAATGTTAGATACATTTTTCTCACCTGAAGCATAGTTCTAACCCTGGGGCACCTTTTTTTTTTCTTTTTCTTTTTTAAGAAAAAAGCAAGATAAAAGTGATTTTGTTGAACAGAAAAGAAAAAGGAAATGCATACATTAACGATGTAAGTGCTTACCATTTGCAACATACATTCAACTCTGCCCACCAAAACCTCTGCCTGCTCCAAGCTCAGGCAGGGAGTCCATGCCAGGGTTCTGGGAGATGGCAGCAGAACCTCGGTTCTGGGGATGGCCTTGGGCTTGACTTTCCAGAACTAAAAAGGAAAGAAGTTGAAACAATGAAAAACCCTCCCACCGGATTCCACCTTCTTCTGTTGGCCACTTCCTTCCTTCCCTCCTTTTTCCTTCCCTTCCTGCAGGAGCTACTCTGCCCCACCTTCCTTCCTGGACAGGAGGACCTGCCCTTTCCTACTCCAGAGCTGGTGCCAAAGGATGAACAATGTGGCTGCTGGGGGTGGCGGTGTCCAGAGATGGGGCGAGGCATGTGGTGTGTAAAACAAAGCAAGGCGTCACAGAGATGGGGTAAGAGAGAATGCTTAATACTCAAGTCGCATTTCAAGGGTCTCTGGCCAGTTCCCAGTAGCTTCCTTTACTTGAATTTACAAACGGAGACGGTCAATGGGCACAACAACAGCAGCAGAACCCCCGTATCCCCAACCATGGTGCCCAATAATGTGATTTCAGAGTGACACGGGGGAAAAGGTGGTGATAGCGAGATACAAAGGGGACTCAATCTAGGTGGATATTTGCAATCCCTCTAGCTGTCCCACAACCCGGGAAAGAGACAATGCCAGGCGAGTTTCTGGAAGAGTCTTTAAAGGGCTGAGGACAGAAAGAAGGTTCTGAGAGAAGGGGAGAGGACAATAGAAAAGGTAGCGTGGAGCTGAAAAATGCCCAAGAGCAGGGAGCGGTCGCCCTTACAACAAATGGACTGAGCTGCCAAAGGAGACGAGTGGGGGAGGGGTCAGATGGAGTCGCTTTTAAAGGCAGAGCCTTGGAAGGAAGGCCAAAGTTGAGGTGGCGAGCACAAAGGAGGCACTCCAGGAAGCAGTTGAGAGGGGTGGGACCAAGTGCGAGATGAAGACCGGAGCCGGGAAGAATCAAAGGGTTCGCCGAGGGAAGGGGGCCTAGGAAGCGCGCCCGGGAGGGCCCCGCTTTGTCTGGCGAGGGCGGCGGCGGGGGCAGCACGTGCAGCCGGGAGCGCCCCGGGCCGCCAGCTCCCCGCCGCGGAGCGCCCGGGAGGAGGCTCGGCGCGCGGGGGCGGCCGCGGCCCCTCCGATTAGCCGGGACCTCTTGCCGGCGGGGCCCGCGCTGCAGAAGCGGCGCATTGTTACGTCCCCGGCCGCAGCAGATTGCCGCTGTCCTACAATACCCTCGCACCCTGGCACCGCGCCACTGGCACGGCCCGGGGGTTGGAAATAACTGCGCCGTTCCCATGGCGACGAGGCAGCGACTCCCGCCCCCGCCCCGAGCGCCCCGGTAACCCTGGCAACGGCGGCTGCGGCGCGCGGGAGGCGACTCCGACCGCGGCCCCGGCCCCGCCCCTGCCGCCCGCCCGCGTCGCGCCCGGCTCGGCCCGGCCTCGGCCTGCGCTGGGGCGGGGCGGCCCCGGGGCCCGCGGGCCTGGAGCTTCCCCTCCCCCCGCGCCCGGCCCGGAAAGGCGGGAGCCGGGAGGAAGCCCAGCGGAGACCCGGCTGCGGCCCGGGCGCTGTGCGCAGCCTCTCCCGGCCCCGGCTGACCTCCGGGCCCCTTTGAATCCTCCCCGGATCACCCGCCCTTCCTCTAGGGATGGGAGGAGACCTTGGCCGAGGGTCCCCAGCCTGCGTGGCCGGATAAAAGAGGGACCAAGGAAATAAAACCTCCTTCTGCTTGAGGGCCGGGGGCCAGGCGGCGCTGGGCCAGAGGGAAGAAGTGCGGGAGGAATCGCTCTCGGGATCCGGGGTCGTGCTTTCCAGGGACCCTTAGTCCTCCCGCCCCGTGCAATGACCCCGTGAACACAGCTCCCTGTGTCTCTCTGCTGCGATGACCCCCACCCTGGGAGGAAGGTTTCCACCATGCCTGGCCCTCGCGCGTTTCCTTGTGTAGGTTTGGTTTGGTTGAGGAAAGAGTATTGCAGATTCCCGAAAAGAGGGTCTCCAGCTCCCAGGGTGTCGACCAGAATTGACTTCTTTGGCGTCAGGGAGCAGGAAGCATGAAGCCGACCAGAGAGAATTCGATTTATACCCTCCTTCTCCAGGGGCAGTCTACACCTGACATTTGGAATGTGACCTCCTGCACGGCTAAAGCTCTGACACATGGAAGATTGTAAACGAAGTTAAAGTTTAGTGAATGGGTACAATTAAAATGAGAACGTGCCTCATTCAGTTGTCCTGGATGGGCAGGACTTCCTAAAAGAATAAGCTTAGTGTGCGGTGTGCCTTAAATTCAGCCTCAAACAAGCATAATAAAATATTAGGACTGTGTATTTACACAGTTATTCTAAGAATGTTACCTCGTTCCTTATATATTTTTGACTTAAAACTGTATAAGTTCTAAGCAGGAAGAAAGGATTCATATGAGGGCAAATTAAAAGTGAAGCTTCTCAACAGCTGGCATAGAGCCATAGTGGAGGGATTTAAAGAGCTTCGATTTTACCATTCCTAGAGCCCTGTGTTGGTATGATGGAAGAGTTTGGAAATAAACAGAACCCTTAGGAGTAAGTCTGGGCTGGGCCAGTTAGGCCTTAGTTTCCTAGTCTGTGAAATGATGATAAGGTGAGATTGTGTATGAAAGAAATGTTCTTCATAAGCTATATGATATGTCATACAAATACTTTAGTTACTGGGACGTCTATAAATTGGTGGACAAGTCATGATTCATACACTGTAGCTACAAACTGGAGAGGGAAGAGGGTTCCAGATCTGCAAGTTAGGGCAAGTGGGGCCAGGGCAGAAGTGTTCTATGTGCTAATGAATGTCCTTTAATAGTGCTTGCTATGTATTAAACTGTGCTCCCCTGCAAATTCACATGTTGAAGCTCTAACACCTCACGTGACTATATCTGGAGATATAGTCTTTAGAATATGACTATTAAGTGAGGTCACAAAGGTGGGGCCCTAATCTGATAGAACTGTGGCCTTATAAGAGAGAGAGTTAGAGAGATCTGCTAAGAGAGTAGTGAGAAGTGAGGAAGAGAGCTCTGATTAGAACCCCACCATTCTGGTACCCTGATCTCAGACTTCCAATCTCTAGAACTGTGAGAAAATAAAAGTTCTGTTGCTTAAACCACATAGTTTATTTCATTATGGCAGTTCCAGCAAACTAAGACAAATATGTCTTCCCTTGGAGCTAAGCGCCCCTCCTACCACCTCCACCACCTGGCGTTTTGTTCAGCACTTCCACAGTTGTCTCATTTTTAATTCGTAACTGTGTGAGTTGGAATCGGCACGATTTATTTTAAAATGAAAAAGCTAGGACTCCAAAAGATGAAATGATTTGCTGAAAGTCATACAGACTGTGAATAACTGAACCAGGACTTGAGTCTCCCCAGACAACAGCTTATCCTTAGCCAGCACCAGATTTTGGGCTAGGTTATGGGAATAGGAAGATGAAATGTGATTTCCAGGTGGAGAGGGCACAGTCTGGTCAGGAGAAGGAACTGTGGAGGAATGACTGCAGAAGGTTGGCTCAGCAGGGAGAGCAGTCCAGGCGGAGGAAAGGTGGGGAAACATGGCTTTGGGGGCAGCCACAGGCATTGCTGAAGTTAGGGTTCAGAGGATAAAAGGAAGGGGCAGAGATGCCCTGACACCATTGGAGATATGACTAGGCCTCCCCCTGCCAAGGACTCTTGATGGCCTCCCCCAGGCCCTGGCCCAAAGGGGAGAACTCAGAGATCAAGGCTGAGTCCTTAGGGACCCGATGTGCCTAAGGAAAACAACAGTAACCACTTCACTTAGGTTCATGTTGACATTTCTTTAGTAAATTACCTTTGTTTGACCTGGGGTCTCCTAAGGGTTAGTTTATTACAGCCCTAACCATTGGTAAGTAAGTGATAATGTGCTCTAATTAGAAGATGTGAATCACATACTTAGGGCTTTTCCTAGCAAGGTCCTACCCCTAGCCAGTGTTTTCACAGAGACGCTGGTCTCCAGAGGCACAAAGTCTTCCTTGAAACAAATACGTGTTCATCCCTTTCAATGGGAATGCTGATAAGGACCTTAATTAATGAAGGGACTAACAGCTGTCCTCCTTTGAGAGCATGAATACAAACTCCTATCAGTCACAGTCAGATACAAGGATGCACCTCTGCTGCTTTCTTTGTGGGTACAATTTGCATACCTGTGTTTATCACATCTTTAACCCATTCCGACTTTCAGGGATTTGTTAAATCACTCACTCCAACACCCCCTCTGGAGAAAGGGAAGAATCAAGTCCAACAGGGCTACTTGCTCTTAAAGTCCCTCTCCCAGAAACCAGGTTCCAGAGACACCCCCACGGCCCAAGGGTACTCATTCTGAGCACCAGGCCAACAGCCAATTTAAGGGCTGGCTTGGGGATTTCAGCTTCCCGCTGCCTGGGACTGAATGAAGACTATCACCTCTACCTCACTGGAGACCTCATTAGGACTTGAACTCTGGTCTTTGTTCCTTCCCAGCGGGTTCTGCACAGGGGGAGGAGGAGGGAGAGGAGGGGATCGGGTAAACCCACCACTCCCAGAGCAGCAGGAGTCCAGCAGCTTCTGAGGACCCGGAAGTGAGTAAACAAGCAATTATCAAGAGAGCCGAGCGGGTAACCGGAGAAGGGGCTTAAATCATTTGATCCACTCCCTGCCCGAGAGAGGACGTCTGCCTTCCCTCAAGCCCTCCTCCCATCCAGCTTCTCAGGGGCTGGTTTCACCTCCCCCTGCCCACTTTCCAGGTGAAATTCCATCCCCGGTGGCGCCCGGTCCCAGGGTGAGAGGCAGGCAGTGATATTCTGGCCAGACTCTTCTTGGCTTTGCCTATATTGGGAGAAGGGAGAAGGAATGAGATGGTGCTCCAAAACCCTAAGCCCTCAAATCCTGCTGTGGGGAGCTTAGCAAGATCGAGGTGACTCAGAATTTGCTTCTTAGAAACTGGAGCGGGAACCCAGCTGGGCTGCAGGAAGTGTGGGGTCGGGTGGAAGAAACCTCCCATTCCTGCCTCCTCTGGCTTGGAGCTGCCTCCTGCTACCGCTCCTAGGCTAGTCCCCGGGTTTTTCACTTTCTCTGGTTCTGCTGACATCAATGCAGATTCCGGCACGGAAAGGCCTCTATGTAGATAAGATTAAGGTCCTGGGCTTATCTTCAAAGAGTTTGCAGTTCAGTGGGGAAGGCAGAGGTAAGTAATTTCAGGGAGTTAAGCAACATGGACATAAATAACCATGCGAGGCAGCATAAGGTAGATGGCTCCGGAGTCCCCTGCTGCTATTGGCCCCAGGAATTCTTCACTTGGTTTATTGACTAACCTTCTGACTGCTCATCTTGTCCTCGCCCCCAGTCTTTCCTCTTCTCTCACCCTTAGTCCTGTACTTAAGCCAGTGATAAATGTAAATTCAAATCTGATTGGATCCCACCATTTCTTAAAAGCTTTCCTTGGCTCTCCCACATTTTTTTCTAGTCCTGGAGATAGAACACAGGGCCTTCAGCTACAGCCACACTGAGCTGCGCCCCCAACCATCCCACATCTTTAAAGATAAAGCCAAACACCTCAGCACAGCATGCCTAGCCTTTTGCAGTCTGACCCCTCTTCATTCTAGGGCCATGCCCCATTCCATAATGTGGACGTTGTTTGAGATATCTAGTTACTACTCACTCTTTGGCTTCAGGGTCTTTGCACAAGCAGCTCTATCCATCTGGAACGATTTCCCCCAGATTCCAAACTTGACCAACTCCAAATGGAACTCAGTCTAGAAATAGTCTCCTTATCTTAGGACCCTAGTAACCTCTCTGGGTTAAATACCCCTTGTCAATATTCCTATATCACCATGGTATTAACCCTGGTTAGATTGGTTTCCCATGCCTCTACTTTCTAGACATCAAGTTTCTTACTTACCCTTGTACCCAGTGCTTAGAACACAGTAGACAAAGGATGGTTGAATGAAACCTTGACTAGGCAGGCAGAATATGGGAAATCATTAGAGATCCAACCCGGGGCCTCATGCATGCTAGGCAAGTGCTATGCCACTGAGCTACACCCCCAGCCCCAT